TTTCATGCCTAAAGCGGGACTAGAACTCATCATCTCCTGGTTATTGGTCCAAAAGCACCCAGCTGGTCTTCATGCCTAAAGTTGGACTAGAATTCACTGTCTCCTGGAATCTAGGCCCAAATCTTCACCACTACCCCAAATTGTGTCGCTTTTTTCTTTTCCAAGAATTCTTATAAATTCTCTTTAGGAAAATTTATTAAGAAGAAAGGAATAGAATGACAAAAATAATGGCATTTATGACTGGTCCTTGAAGTTCTGGCCATCCCAGCAACTGGCATTCATGTGATCACAACCTGGGTGCTTGGCAACCGGCTTGGACATACCACAGTTGTAGCATCCCACGATCTCATGATTGACATTTGCCATTTTTCCTGCTGGTTTTCTTCTGGCACCCATGCCATAGGTTTGCCATCACGGCTATAGACTATGCGGAAAGTGTGCCGAGTACTGATGGAGTCAACACTCTGGCAAACAGCATTTCCAAATCATCCAGGGTTATATTAGCCAGATTCGTACCTAACATGGTCCAGGCCACGACGCTGGTTGGCTCCACACAGGTGGCGTCCTCAAAAAAGACTTCAGCCTCTTCATAATTCTGCAGCATCACAGCCATGATCCCACACATCAGCACACTGAACAGACAGCAAACAACAAATCAAAGGAAGCGCCCATTGTAAGAACAATCCTCTATATCACATCCTGGGGTTGTCCCTATCGCAGCACACTGCAGGTTTAGAGAGCCCCCAAAGCACATTTATTCAGAAAGAAAATCCAATCAGTTCTAAATTTACAATGACTATGATAATGATCTATCACTATTGTTGTAGGTACACTGAGAGCTTACGAGCCAGAGACAAATTCCTTGGGTGTCTAATCACACTTGGCCAATAAGAAAGTCCAGTTGCCTCCTGAAAAAGCACCTTGGATGGATGACCTGGATGATGGAGAATCTCTACAGACTTTCAGCTATGCAATTTGGGATGGACACTCTTTGAGTGGTGTTGGGGTAGGAGTGGATTTCCAGAGGAAAAAAAACCCTGCAGACTACAAGAACCAGGAGCACTAACTCAGGTCACCCTGAGGACCCAGATAAACCTCCAAATTACCTCAATACCTCAAATGCAAATGATCACCTGTCTGCCAGGAGTATAAATCCTTCCATTCCCCACCATCCTGAAGTGAAGATACACAAATTTTATCCGGGATATGTATATACATATCCTTATACATTTAAGTGTGAGCTACCTAGTTATTGTCTGACCAGGGCTCCAGAACTGTTTGACGAAGTGATACCTGGGCAGGTGATTGGCATCCAGCCCAACTGCCTCACGGAAACATTCCTGGGCCTTGAGGTTGTCTTCAGTCAACAGGCAAAAAGCGCCATAATCCAACCAGCTCTGGGCATCTTGGGGGTTTCGAGACACCCTCTGGAGACAGAAGGAACGTTAGTTAGTATTCTGTTTGGAAGGTTTGAATGGGAAGATCTGAAGATCAAAAATAGCAATACTACTTAGACTTATATACTACTTCACAGTGCTTTACAGCCCCTTCTAAGCAGTTTACAGAGTCAGTCTATCATCCCCAACAGTCTGGGGTCCTCATTTTACCCACCTCGGAAGGATGGAAGGCTGAGTCGACC